ATGGCGAACATAGCCTTTAGCAACTTGATTCAGCTCCAGATTTTCAGGCGTTGGGCGCCCTTTTTTTACAATGTCCGTCTTTTCAGTGAATAGTCGTCTTGAAAAAGGAACCGACAATAATTCCGCAACAACATCTTCTTCACCTGTTGCCATGTCAACGTTAAAACGAATAAAACAGAAAATGAATTGTTACGTCCCATCTATATCCTGTGTCTCGCGCCTGTCAGAACTAACGGGCCTTCTAGCATACCCTGCACCGTGGGAAACTCCGAAAGAATACGCCCATTGGCTACAAATCAATATATGATTGGTTGATCAAACTGTCAGAGTGTTCGCTCTCATTCATTTCAACGACCAGGGAATTCTATCAAGGATACAGAATACCCACAGATGCAGAAACAGATCTGATTGGTTGCATTTATTTTCTAAAATGCGTAGTGCAAGGTCCGAGAAGGACAAACAAATCAACGTAACACTGTTTATTACAGATCAACAACATAGATACGATTCTCATTTATAAAATGTATTTACATTTTATTACATTTGATTAAATTGTATTTATATAATTAAATCGATAAATGTTTTTTTTTTATCTGAGTTATCAGGGTATTCTCTGAATACCTTGAAGGCCCTGACGGTTCGCCACTGCCTGTTACGTACACAGCTATGTAGGGCCTTTATTATCATGTGCTACTCTGATATTGGAAGAGTACATTGAGTATTTTCCCAACAATCAGCATATTCCCTCTTATGACTTTTAATCATATTGGGCTGACTTCTATAGTAAGTTAAAGGTCCCCTATTATGCAAAATGCACTTTTTGATGTCTTTTATACATAAATATGTGTTCCCGGTGTGTCAGGGAACTCACAAAGTGTCAGAAAATAAAACTATTTTTCTCCACATCTTTAAAAACGGGGGTACAACGGAGCTGATCCAGATTTGTGTCTGATATGGCGTAATATAAATGGCTTTACACCCACGGCCCTGTCAGAAACGTCGCTATCAGAAACAATGTGCAACGTGTTTTGCACGTAATATGGTCTTTGTTTACATTAGCAAGCATCGCTAACACTCAGAGCTAACCTGTACTGCAGAGAGTATGTGTAAAAAAGCAGGAAATAAAAAAAGGTAGTATACCCGCAAGAAAAAAAGCATTTGAGCCCCATATTGTTTCAGAAATAATCCTTGAAGTGGTTTGGAACATGATGGCGTGTAATCAAGGCAGCATTGAGCTGAATCTGAGCAGAGCAGACAGCCTGCTCGTCACAGAACTCACAGTGTGTCTGCTGCTCAAAAGGGGGCGGGGTCAGCAGCTACAGTCACAGAATCAGAACGTCTCTAACAGGGCTGAAATAGAGGGATATGAGAGATGTCTAAAATGCATGATCTGTTTGGTATTTTGAGCAAAACACATCATAGACATGTTTTTATATATTTTTATATATCTGAGACCCATAATATATATGCCTAAAGATGGCATGATAGGAGATATTTAAATAAAAAAAATAAACGACTGCTCTATTGCGTGTGTGCTCATAGTCCCACCATGCCGCTTTTCCCTTTAAACAGACAGGTGAATAAGGTGTGAAACAGAATATGTGGCCAGGAGAATAGTAACAAAAGGGACTCAAAACACATCCTTGAAGTTTTGTTGAATATAGTGTTGTGAAGAGATATGGAGCTGTAATCCAAACTCACAGGATTAGAAATGTCACTGTCTTTACGAATCTTAACAAATAATTGTCCCACTGTCAGGAGGACGCATTGATCATGGACACCACGAGGGCAAAGCCAAGCAGGCGCTGCATGAAACTGTGGAAATGGACAGAGCCATCGGCCGGGCAGACCTCCTGACCAGCGTCCATGATACAATGACTGTGGTTACCGCTGATCATTCTCATGTGTTCAACTTCGGGGGTTACACAGGAAGAGGAAACACCATATTTGGTATGTTATGATAGTGATGTACATTCTGTAGTATAAATGTCTTTGTTGTACCACATGTTTACTAGTGCTGTGAGTTATTTTTTCTGTCGTGATAATGGGGTTTAATGCATCTACAGGTCTGGCCCCGATGCTCAGTGATATTGACCAGAAGCCCTTCACCTCCATCATATATGGGAACGGACCAGGTTACAAACTTCTCAACGGAGCGAGGGAAAATGTCTCCACTGTCGATTACCGTAAGTAAAACCAATAAAGAAACATTATAGAAAATACATTTTCTTTGAGGAAAAAGTGCATCCATCTCACTTATTATTCCCCAAAATAACTTGACAAAGGTAGATCAATTATGATAGCACAAGCTATTTTCTGTCAAATGAGGAGAAATGTATTGCAATAAAGAGACATTTCTCAACCTGAGGTACGGGTGATAGACAATGAAACAGTTTTGGTAAAGAGCATGACTGAAGGGGATTGCTCTTGTCTCGACATAAAATAACTTATTGCAGAAGTTTTTAATTAATCCTAGATTAATGGTGCATCCTTTAGTTCTCCCCTGATGAGTTTTCCCAAAACACATTGTGTGTATCCTCCTGATTGTTTAACAAATGTGTTGAAGGCAAGGCAAGGCAAGTTTATTTATACAGCACCTTTCAGCACACAGCAATAGGGATGGGTACCGTTTAAGGTTAAGGTTTTAAGGTTAAGGTTTTAACGGTACTACTACTTTTATCGATACCGCTTATCGATCCGGCCCTTTAACGGTACTCTTATCAGTTATTTTGAAGAAGAAAAAAAAGGTAAATTAACTAAGCAAATTGTAAACAAAATGAACATTGCTTTTTATTTAAATTACATAAATAATATTTCACATCAAAAGAAACAACAATGTTTTAACTAATCGTACTAAATAATCTGATGACAGAACTGTAAACAGAATAGCTGAAACTTTAACAAAAATAAATAACTCAGTTACCTCTTATCATTGACCCATGTTTGTTTAATTTAGTCAACTGTGTGTTGCTGCTAGCATACATAACACCTGACGTGGAAATGTTACTCGTGGATGGGGCTACAGAGCTACTAGAAAGACAGTTGAAACCGGTGCATTCCTCCGTCTGAATGTGGTGCACTTTTGCTAAATGCTTAGACAAAATGCTTGTGTTACCGCCCTTAAATGCTAAACTCTTATTGCACTTTTGACAACGAGCATTGTCCACATCAGGACGGGTGAAGTTTAACAACATCTTGGAGCGCTTAGTTCTCTCCGCCATCTCCGCCGTGTGTGTGTTGCTGCATGTAGCAGCTGCGTGTGTGTAAATTGCCCAGCCCCCTCGCACACAGACGGGGGAGAGAGATCTCTCATCTGGATTGGAAAGATCGAAAATACATCATAGGCACATTTTTTTTGTCTTTTTGCATGTTAGAAACGGAGTTGGCGACACTAAGACTGCAATATAATGTTTATGTAGCAATAATACACATGACATATCTTTTTAAAATGTTTCCAGTACCGATAAAAAGACCGATAACGTCGGAGCTTAACGGTACCACGGTCTTTAATAATTCAGCCCCGGGGCCCGTTTAATACCGGGGCTCGGTACCCATCCCTACACAGCAATTCAAAGTGCTTTACAATTTAAAATAAAATACATTTAAGAATAAATACAGCAAAAACACATTATAAAATGGCATTTAAAAACAGGCATTAAAAAGGAAAGTTAATAAAATAAACACAAGAGATATAGAATACATGAATAAAAACCATACTGCAGTATGGATATAAACAGCTCACTCAAATGCAGCGACAAAAAAGTGAATGCATTTCATTCCTCATTTGCTAAGCCAATAGGTATGTGCTGTTTTAAATTGAGCATTGTTTACATCCTAATTAAATATAATTTATCTTCTCCCCTGCTTTGGTTTGCACATAGCTGAATATCTTGGCTTGCAGCCGCTACCTGTGGATGAGTAGATTCATTTAAAACCATTCACTGGATTGTGTATTCCACCACCCGCGTGCATGAGCGTTCTTGTGCATGAGATAAACAAAAAACCGCTGAACCACTCATAGAAAAACTCTCACAGAGAAGAGCTACTAGGGTCAAACCTCAATACAAACCTTTGAATAAGGGTGAACATCTTTCCTTTATGCTTCATGAGTTAAGAACAATTACATCTTTGCATATTTGCTCTGCCTTTCAGAGGATAACAACTACCAGGCCCAGGCCGCTGTACCTCTGAGCATGGAGACCCATGGAGGAGAGGATGTAGCTGTGTTTGCTAAAGGTCCCCTGGCCCACCTGCTGCACGGGGTCCATGAGCAGAACTACATCCCCCACGTCATGGCGTATGCAGCCTGTATCGGCCAGAACAGGGAACACTGTGTTTCAAGTAGCGGGGCTGCAGATCTACGCCCTGTCCTCTCTAGCATCGCAGCCCTTCTCACAGTCACCCGAATCCTGTGCTGACCCCAAACTATACCCTCCCATCCTCATCCTGTTAATAACCCTGTTATAACCACTCGTACATTTTTTAAATTTCAATTTGATGTTGTTTTTTTAAGTTCTGATTTTACTCTTCAATATTTAGTTGTTATCATGGGACCACTGTTAGGGCTTTCGACAATATATATTATATTTCACAAAAGCAAAAGGGTATCTGTTAAAGGTTGTTCAGGCAAATATGTTAATTAATAAAAAACCAATCGCCCATGATGCACTGAAATGAAAAGTGGTGTTGCAAGGACTACCACAAAATCTGAGATCTCGGTTGAGACGTTTTTATAAAGAGGGTTTTAAGACCCATTAAGCATGTTTGTTCAATGTAAACCGTTTAGAATCTACCTCACAAGCTTGCAAAAGATCTCTCGTGCAATGATGGTGCATCGAGAAGGCCACATTTTTAAAAGGCGAAATGCATGCCCAAACAAGAGGCAAATGTCTAATTGACAAAAGAGTAAAACATATATATATATTCCCTTGTCATACACCTTTGTGCATACTTGTAAAAAGCACTGAAGCAGCCCACCTACCATTGTTATGTCAAATGAAAGTTGTAAACCTCTTAACCAATAAAAGACAATTGTTCTGATCATCTTGTGTAAGTTTTGTTGCAACATTATTGACTAGCTTTTCCTTAATGTTCTTGATAATGTTCACATACCGCCTGTGCTTCAACTCCTCTTTTCATCCTCAGTCTGAAACCAGAGCCCAGTCGGCTCTGATTGGCTAGCTGGCCGGCTCTGTTATGATTGGTCAAACGCTTGCATTACATTACAATACATTGCATTTAGCTGACGCTTTTATCCAAAGCGACTTACAATAAGTGCGTTCGACCAACAAGATACAAACTTGAAGAAAACAGAATCATATAAGTACATCAGGTTTCATAGAGCCAAAACATTTCAAGTGCTACTCAACTGGCTTTAGATAAGTCAGTCCTTTATTAGTATATAAATTCTCTGTTAATAATTCTATCGCTCGAAGTGGAGTCGAAAGAGATGAGTTTTCAGTCTACGCCGGTGTGTTGCAGCAATAGCCAATAGAAGCATGAGTGTTATATAGTGATGTCACTTTACTAGTAAACAAAGGACTCCAATTGAGGCATTTCAAGCAGGTGGGGGGGTGAGTGTGTTGGAGAGAAACTTTGGGATTTTAGCTTTTGCAGACCACAAAAAACCCAAAGAACACACTACAGGAAAGGGAAAACCCAACAAAGCATAAAGTGCCCCTTTAAAAAGGTCACATTTATTGAGATCTTTTTCAGGGTAGAATGTTATGAGTAGATTGTATATAGCAAGAAAAACCACCTCTTTGAGCATTGAGTTCTAAAGACTGAAAGCTCAAAGAAGGGCCATTTTGTACCGACAATACTTCAACACAAGGTCAAAAACACAGATTTGCGGTTGTTCGTCAAGTCAGACGTCACGCATAATCCACGATTTGTCATGCGTTAGAAATACCTCAGTAAACATCTTTTGTTTAGTGTGTCACATATGTTGTATAAGTTGTATTTTTCCATCTGCTCTACTGTGGCTTGTGAGGAATGTGAACAGACTGAAGCCACTCATTCCTTGGCACATGTGGTCACTGCGAAAACAGAGGACTCATGTTGGCTGAAGCATGAAAAGGGGGGTTTAGCGTAAAACGGGTATGAAATGAAGTCCTCGTGCTATCTTTTGTTCATTTTCAATATCAGCTGCTTGTGATCTACTGAGGCGCTCGAGGGCCACTTCATGCTTTTATGTAGCCTGCTTTGCTGATTAGGATTTTCCTTCTTTTCCACTTGGCAGCTGAAAACAGTTGTCCTGTTATCCAGTTTTTATCTACTGTATTCCATAGTTGGAGTTAAGTGACGCTGGGTATCAGATTGTGTAGCATGAATATTCAATTGGGCTTTAAACCCCCGGTTTCCTCTGGCTTTCAGATGCATTTGTAGGCTACATGACACCCAGTGCTCCTTCTTATGTTTCCTGAATAATGAAAGATTCTCTATTTTTAAAAACGGATGATGAATCCAGACCATGGCCTTGTCTGTATGTTACTGTGTGGATGTAACAACACACTCCTCTCACAACACAATACATTTTAAATACTGGGTTTTGAATAGGATTTTGTCAAAATAAGAAAAAGTCAATTGAACAGTGACATTTCACCAGATGTACAATTTTAGCAAGCAAGCCATCTGATGAGTTCATAAGACATGTGTACGGCTCACCCTGGAAACACTGTTATTTTCTAAATCTCATACGTCTAAGCATATGTGATTTAATCCAGCCAATATGTAAACAATTTTCCCCAATTAGTGTAAAGTAGTTGCAGCATTTTCCCCAATTTTACCCTCTTGAATGGACCACCAGTATTTGCTACTGACTTCACTATTATCTATCTACTTTACATCCTGATTAAGTATTTTCCAAACCATGATGTGGTGTTTTAAATTACTATATGACTAAACTTTTTCTACTATTGCAAGAAGTCATTAGCCTGGTAACATACTTCTTAATCACCGTCATTGCATCTGATTAGATCCAGGATTCTGGTGCTGTACCAAATAATGTCTGTTGGCATAATTTAGAACTGTTTTACGGCTCGGCTGGAGCGAGGAAAAAAAGTGGATGAGATCAAGGCAGCTGTTCAGGCTGACTTACAGAAATAACAACTGTTGCACACCCACATAATGTGTTTTCAGTTGAATAAATGATTGGGTATCTGCTGAGGTTGAAGTTTGGACGTCATCCCACTCCATGTAGTAATAAGCACAATAAAAGCTGTAATTTGTCTCGCCTAACAGATGCAGACAAACCTGTAAGAAAACAAAGAGCAAAGGGAAGAAAATGTCATGACAGCACAGACTGTGCATGCAACACAATCATAAGAGGTCTTATCAGCCAAAATAATCACCTTTAAAAAGAGGCTTTCATTTTATTTATGTACAATTCATGTAGTGTTGCTAGCAGCTTCGACGGCCACCGAAAAATACATTTATTACTGCCCAAGGAGAAATAGCATTAACATTTAAGGCAGGGTGAGTAGGATTTCCCCAGAAATCCATATACTCATACAAAAATAATAATCCCTCTCAATCATCACTTATGACCCATCAGAAGGGTGTGGCGCCGGTGTCTCTAAGCAGACTCCCTTTCCTCTGCTTGTATATATTTGTTAGGATGTTTCTCAGAGTTTATAACCAAAATATAGGCACATATCCATGAGGAAGCTAGGAAACTGGCGGACACACTGGAAAAAACACAAATTATAGCAAAGCAAAATGCCAAGCGGCAAAGCAAGAGGGAATCTTGGAACTTCACAAACATTCGACCTTTGTAACACTGAAAGCAGTCAACTCTTCTAGTGTTTTAGAGCTTGGGAGCAGGGGTTAATTCGAACAAAAAAAATCTTTGTCATTCTGCCTTTAACATCATAGAGCAGCATAATCAAAGTAAAAAAAATAACAATTTAGGCTATATTTGTGAGTTGGAGGCCGTTTTTCCCAGAAAATGCATCGATAACGTAAGAAACATGTGAATAAAACCCAAAGGCTTTCTGTGTCAAAAGCACACCCATACTCTTTGAGGTGTATGCATGCCTTTGGAATGACAAACAATCATGTTCAGTATACATAATTTATAGTTAAAGCGTTACATTTAGCAAACATTGGCCCATGGACCAATCAATGCAACTTATGTGCAGCCAGACAAACCCTCAAACGTTACTTTTAACTGTAGGGCAGTTCCCAAAGATGGCATAGATATAGAAGAACATGTGTTGGGATAAATAGCTTTAATGAAGAGCTGGCAAAGACTGATAAAACATATGCTTGATACGTCAAAATGTGAGAATGGTTGAAGTTTTGCAACCAAAGCTGTTCAATATGAAAAATTATGAAAGCATGTCATTTTTCTTTAAATACATAAAATAATCATATTTTATTCAAGACATTTTTTATGTATAGGAAACAATTCTTAGCCTTTTGTGATTCTACTGCTATCTCTTTCGTTGCTAACTTTCTGTTTAATCATATTTAGAAAGCTCTTGCATATAAATCATAGTATATGTAATGCTCTTCCTTGTCAGATGTTCATCAGAGCCTTATTTATAGCTTTGACTGTCAGCCTGATGTAATGGAAAAAAACTGCTGTAGATATAGATCTTGATCGACCCTGAAAAGTGCCATCAAAGCTCTGCTCGCCCTGGCATCAAGTCGCTCATCAAACACATCATCTCAACCTCGCAGAGCCACGTGCGACAGCTCAATGCTTTCCATTTTACCCCCTCTTGTTCTCCATCTCTCAGCCTCGCTTTGATTTGTCCACTTTTATTTTGAGTGATGATGTTCTATATCAATCAATCTCTCCATGTCTATAACAGGAAGCATCTCTTCAATCTGCATTATCTCCAGCACTTAGATTTGCTGTGGGCACGGTTGAATAACTGGGGGTAAAAAAAGAAAAAAGTGTGTTGGAATTTACAGCCTCAGAGAGATCAAACATAGAAAGCAAGCCATGGCTCACAGCTACGGGACGGGTGTATAAAAGGAGCAGTGAAGCTGCAAGAAGATGCAAATTCTCCTCTTTTCAAAGCAGAGATCCTTCTCTGGGCAAAAATGGAGTCAATGATATTCTTTTTTTGGGTAATCTAGTTCAGCTGAGTGCATTTAGTAGAACTCACAATGATCCAAGATCTAATTCACTATGCAAAATATCGATATTCTTTAGCTCTACGTGTAATATTTCTCTCTGGATGCTATGCAGAATAATTTTGTCATTCCCTCCACAAAATTCCAGGAACTGTTCATCCCCTTGTCTTTTATCATTTTCTACTAGTGAAGAGTTGAACATGACTTAATCGCTTTCCTCTATAGATCCAAAAACTCCCATCCCCCCTCTGAGGGCAGCCAGCGAGAGCTAATCCCTGTGCGACTAATGAGGGCAGAAAGAATAAGGTCCTGGATCCTGACTTCTGCACATATTTACATTTGTTGTCAGCAATTCTCCTCGCTAACAGCTTGGCAATCATGAATAAGGGAGCCTAAAGTGCCCCCAGAAAGGACTAAAGATTATGGAAAACGAGTCAACTTGAGAGTGAGACCAGCCGTAGTGGACAATTTTATGGAAGGAAACATTTGCAGCGAAGATAGGGAAGGTTGTGGAGCACACATCTGCATTCTAATTAAAGGGGCCCTATGCTTTTGAGGTTTTGCCCTTCCTGAATTATGTTATATAGGATGGTGTGCATAAATGGTCTGCAAAGGCTAAAATCCCAAAGTTCCCTCCAGAGGGAGTTTCTCTTTCCTGTGGTGTGTTTGTTTAGGTTTTGTTGTACATGTTAATGGTCTGCAAAGGATAAAATCCCAAAGTTCCCTCCAGAGGTAGTTTCTCTTTCCTGTGGTGTGTTTGTTTAGGTTTTGTATGTTAATGGTCTGCAAAGAATAAAATCCAAAAGTGTCCTCCAAAAATGGGGTTCTCTCCCACAAAGTAATACCATAAACCATTATGACCCATGAAAAAGGGACAAAGGTTCTTGCATTCTTGGAGCATTTTTGTAAAACAAAATCACAATTATTTGGTGTGAAATCAAGCTAGGATATAAATA